CGTTGCCCCTGTTCATCCCCAATCTCAATAAACTGCTTTTTCCTAAAGGAACACTTGTTGAGATTGTCTGCTGACTGCTTGGACACTACACTATCTGATACATGATGTCAACGATAAGACCAAAAAACAATATAAAAAAACATCACCGAGAATGACGGTATTTAGGTCAGCAATAGTTATTTCCCAGTGAAATGAACGCGCTTAACCCAGACCTAGAATAAGAGATCTTTGACTAACATTTTTATGGGATACTGTCATCTGCTCGAAGAAAAAATGAAGAGTGAGATGACTTACAATCATTTTCAGTTCATTGATTTAAAGTAAGCATGAACGTCGAAGTACCCTATTTTAAAAGTAAATTGAGTATAGTTTACGGAAAAATCGTATGGGTTTCAAGAATTCGAACGAGACTAAAACATGTGAAAATTTGGGGCGAGGGTTCCAAGACTGAAGTAAAATCCCTCATGGCTCTGACTCATTTTCGAACATATATCTCTCAAGGTTTGTTTTAAAGCATTTCGGCGACGATGACAGCACAACACATGTAGGGGGGCATTCCGGGGCTTCATCACTCTGGCAGCTAAGGAGAACTTGTGCTTAGTTGGCCTTGCTTGTTAAGCGCGCAGTTTACAAATGTGACCTCGAAGATTGGCGATGGTAACCACTTCAAAACAATTCCCAAAGCCAGTCAATAATACACTGCCCTCACAATGTGGAAGGCCTGTAGGAGATCCCTACGAATTTGCCTATAAATAGAGGTTGTTTATGTGAAATGCATATGGGAAAGTGCTTTGATTTTTTACCATGTTAGGGACTCTCCTTCGAAGTCTATCCAGACCAATCGGACCTTTGGAACGCCCAAGTGTCCAACCTATTATAGCATTCGCCAAATGCGGTCTAACGAATGTTCTAAAAATCTTGAGGAGCGACCTCCGTCAAAATCCAAAAATGCTATACTGATGACGTGTAACACAGACATTGCGCTTCTCGCTATCGTAGACTAATGTGAGGACCGCTTTAAGGAACTGGTCGTCAGTACATCGAAGTCCTTTTAAATTTCTACTTCTTGCAAACCTGCACCATTAAGAAACTATCTTCTACTGTTGTGGGATATGGCTGGATTACCTAGGCGAAGTATTGTGCACTTACTGACGTTGAACCACAGAAGCCCACCGTTCAATCACTCTTCATATCTACTTAAGTTGAGCTACAGCCTATCCTCGTCAGCAGGCTCCGAGATTGCACTCCAGCTTTTAATGTCAAAAGAATGGGCCATAGAACTGAACCCTGGTAAACTCCATTCTCGACCGCAGCAGAATTGGACTTGGAAGTTATTACTGATTAATAATTATTCTACTTTGTACGACAGTCAACGTGGGTGGAATTAGAATCATGGCAGCACCCCTGACCACAAGAAAATTACGGTAGGAACTCGTGTCGGCAACTAATCGAGGGACTCCGACCATTACAGACACGCGTAGACCGAAGCTGGAAAACTTCAAGCCTGAGAACATCTAGGTGTCTTACGACGTCTATGATGATAGGTGCAGTTTTGGCACGAATAGAAACGGCCACCTAAAGGGGGCATCGGAAGTACTCGATAAGGTGGTCAGCTGTCTCAAATGGCAGTTGAAAAAACGAAGCAGTGGTATTGGGCACAATAATAGCTTGCAAAGAGGAGGGCAGCCGCTTGATAAAAAGCGATTTGAAAATAGTGCCATCCAGGCTTCGTCCGTCAGTTAGCTGTTCCAGGCTCTTAAGAAGCTGCGTGGGTCTCCTGTCAACAAGGTCCTTCTGGGAAATCAAACACTGGCGAAGTGTTGGTAATGACACATAAGCATAGTCAAGATATAGGCCCGTAAAATCAGAGGTAAGTGTTTGGCAACAGTGAGAAAACATATTATTTGACTTTTTCATTCAACATTGTGTCAATTTACTAAAGGGAATATTTTAACTTGATAAAACAGATGGTTTTATGTTAGTAAAAATGCGCATAGGACACCGCTGCTCATCATCTACATAAAAGGAGCAACCATGGTAACTAGTGTATTGCGTCCTGTGCATCAAGCTCAACGTCTTCAAATCCTATAATTTTGCTTACTGAACTAAAAATCTGCAGTTCTGTAGAATAAAAGATTTTCAAGGTATTGCTTGCCAAATTTGAATGATATATCATCTGCCGACTAAATTTGATACAGTTTGGAGAATTTATAAGTCAAGATCAAAATGAATTATGTTTTATAAGAAGATCCACTACAGTGAGTTCCGGGCGAGTAATGAAGGGCATTTAGAAGAGTAAGCTTGCAGAGCCAGTATTCTGAAAACAGCTTTAAATGTGAGAGGTGGCAAACTGCAAATATATATAAAAGCAAGACAGACAGCACCTAAACATCAGTTCTCACCTTTTATTTGGGTAGTACCGTTCTTCGTCCTCAACACAAAACCTCTCCTTTGGACACAGATCATAGTATTTTATTTTGGGGAGTTCGTTCTAGTCAATTATTTGACCTGGTTTTATGGTTGTGCTTTTGTGGGTTGGTATCAGTTGTTGATTGCATGTGGTGTAAGTATCCGATGCCTCAGCAGTTGGATATCTTTTGTCCCATCGTAATTATCTCAGTCCCGACGATTTTATCTTATTCGGGATTGTTATTGTCGATATGATTTGTGAATGGCCTTCACTTCTGAAAAATAATAACCAACGTAGAAAAAGAAACGTGGTTTTAAGGTTGCCCACGTGAGTAACAGTCTTAGATGATCTGACGTGTCCCAATAGCAAAGTCAAGCAACTACCGAGCAAATCAAGTACAAAAAGCATTGAATAACAGAAGGCAAGGCCGAGACGGTGGTCCTCTCCTTTTTACACCGGTCCGTAACTTGCCAGCGTAATGATATTAAGTACTGTACGGTACAAGATTACTGATTTAAAGTGAGTTTGGGGGATTGTTGTATTTTTCTGTCGTAAAGTTATGAATGAACGGAGGCAAATACTCGGATACTTGCTTGTTTTCCAATAATGTGTTGTTTCAACAGCTCAGGTTTTCCAGTCTAATAATTCATCTTCAGTCCAGATATCACTGGAATTTCGGCATACATATCGTTTATAGTCTGTGTGAAAATGTCTGCATTACCCCTACGAGATTTCTCAATTCATTTTTTTATATAATTCGATCCTTTTAGCCATACTCGTTTCCGCCCTCTCGCGCGATTAACCGGTTATATCTTTCAGTGTATTGTCAATCTTTCGCTTGCATTATTGATGTGTATCAAATGTTAATTCCTCTGTCTCACCCCTAGTTGATTCGCATAGATAGCCCCAGACAATGCCCGAGAAAAGCCTGCCTCCCGCCCGGTCTAGATCATCGTAAGTATACAGCACCTAAGTAATATTTTAGATTTCAATTGGAATCTCTATTTCTACCTAGATTTTCGGAAGCTGGACAAATATACGTCAGTTTTTTATTACCTTTGATCTTCTGTATAGGTAACCAGCGACGGGGAAGTGCTGTGCTCTCGTGATGGGGAGGAACGACTGGACATTTCTACAAGACACTTGAATAGCACAGAATGGCAAACATTTAATGTCTTTAATGAAGAGGTCACCTGTTTCTATGCCAGCCCGTTCGATAAGGCATGCAATTTAACAGCTAATGCTAGCATTTTCAGACGATCATTCTGGCGTCAAAGGGGCTCTTCCTTTTGAAAATTGACAGAGAAACCAAAAAACTTGTTAAAAGATGGAATGTAAGTCGTTCTTTTTCTTTACGGCAGTCCTCGCATACTAAACCGATATCAGTTATGCACATGAACAAAACATCGACCCGACTGGCTACTGGGTCTGGCGACTGTTGCATCCGAATCTGGCATGTTGGCGAACGAGAGGGATACGTGGCCAGTTGTAAAGCACACACATCAAAAATTACGTACGTTTTTGTTGCTTGAAAAGTGTCTTGCATATTGACGTATGCTTGATTAATTTCACTCTGACTGTCTATGCGTTTGAATTTTCCCGTTAGGCTATTTTTATTTATTATTGAGCTGACTGCATCTTCCTGACTTATAGCTCTACAAATTATCGGTGCCAGTGCAGTCGGTTTGAGGCCGACTCCCGAGCAACGTTATACCCGTTAGCATGATAGCCCTTCAAACCGTCGACCACAGAGCCAGACATGCGTCCTACGTCAGCTTTCGTCACATCGGTTAGTCACTCGACGCCATCGCCATCAGCTAGAACGAAATTCAGGTGTGGTCACTGTACGGGCAGGAACAGCACACATTCTAGTTGTCCTAGTTGATACGTCTGCAAGACAAAATTGACGTGTGGAGTCTCTGACACATTGTATATCCATTCGCTGGAGAAGCGATTGGAGCAACAAAATTGGTGAATGAAAAGCAAACACCGTCGAGAGAATATCACGAGGCGGCAGATTGTCTTAATAGAGGCCTCGTATACATACAGCTCCTTTTCCTGTCCGACCTAACGTCCATTTAGGAAATTTGGGCAAAGTCAGGAGAAAACATTGCGCACCAGGTAGATCGGATGACCGACGTTTTCCTCATTTACCATGGTCGGCTTGAAGTAGCAGAAACCGTCCACAAGCCGAAGGCTTCCATTGTCTAATATGGCCAAGCAAATTGCTCTGGTTACTAAACATGATACCATTATCCATGTTCTGCTGTTGATATCTTGGAACACTGGCTGCTTTAATGCCTATTCGGGGCATCAGACACGGCATTTATGCAAAGGAGCTCAACCCCAGAACGTCATAAACATAGTGTATAGCTTTTGACTTTACGTAGCAGTAGGACCTGCTGGCGCACGCCAGAGAACCCACTCTATAACTTACTTAAATAAAGCCAATAAATGAACTCAATCTTGATGGACGTAAGTAAAGTCAAAAACGTCACTCACCATTCGCGTGGCCTTTTTCAAAGCCCCAATAGATCACATCTTTTTCAGTATGACCGACCTCCGAAAATCAGGATTTACAGGAGCAAAGCAAAGGAGAAGTCCACAAAGTAGGTTTGGGTGAACCGTTGGTAACAGTGGCGGGGTTTGAAGGTTTGGTGGAACAGAAAAATTTATCAAAACATCTACCCTCGGCAAAATTAACAGTGGCTTTTATCCATGCGTCGTGCAAGGGTTTGTGTTGGACAGCCGTAGAGACCGTCGACGGCGCTATAGAAACTGATTCTGCGGTAGTTCTACCACCATGGTCCGTCATATTTCTTAATGCTCGGCGCAACTTAAGTGTCGCTTCCGTCTGCTCCCAAAATTTGCGTCGAAAGGCTGTGTCTCCCATCAAATTCTTTATTATCAAATTTTTCTTTAAAATTTCTTCTGGAAGGTGCTCATCAGGCGCTTTATTGGTCTGAGAATGTGCTAGATGGTGGATGGTGGAATGCAGCCACATTTGTATTCAAATCTCGCTATTTATTTAAGCCGAATGAAAATTGAGCGGGTAGAACCAACCGTGTTCAGATATTAGAAAAAGATCTTATCCATCTTAGCGTCCTGTCTGTTGTTGACGATATTAGCGACTCTTGGTTGTGAACAAACTGAAAGGCTGATCCGACTTCAGAACTTGACATTATCTCCGTTTCCGTGATCAGCACTCTCCGTAACTTAGGTGCCTGTTTTCGGACTTCGGAACTACACTTTATAAATATTAAGCTTATGTTTAGGATGACATATACCGCATCTGCCCCTTGATTTTTGACTTCAACCGTAGTAAAAATGACCTTGCAACCCGATGATTAGAACCTTAATTCTTTGTTTCAGCTGTAAACAATTTAATCCTTAGGTCCACCATTCAGCTAATCTTAGACTAAAATGTGTCAGATCTGTACAGGAAGACTTCAATACTCACTAACTTTTCTACGACTCCTGTCTCGTCACAATTTGAGGTAGATAATTGCCATTGTCAGCTATTTTTTGATAGTGAAGACTGTCTCGAACCAACTACAAAGAATCAGCCGTTTGACTCAGTCCTTATAGCTGTTTTGTTATAATATGTTACGTTTCAATATATTTCTGTCGATATTTACGGGTTTTTACAATCCACGTTAGATGCCTGTTAACCGTGCCTCCTGGTAGCTTCAGACTCGGTTGCTCTAAATTTTGAGCGAACTTCTACTTTGACCGAGAAAATAGCAAAAAGGTTTGCTGACCTTGGCGAAGTTTCACAGTCCAGGTTTTTAGCGCGTTGTTCCCTTCTGTAGTAGATTTGAATCACGTCGAGGTCGCCGATTTGGATCACTCCAGTTATGCAAGCCTGTCAAATACTTATTCTTATTTGCCAAAACAGGCTTTTGGGTTTTATTCGAACTCAAATGTGATCAGTTTATCGCGTTAGCCATTTTGTGAACTAGAACTTAGTGCTAATCTTACTTATTTGAATGTTAGCCTAGGCTCTACTCAAACAGCTTTCTGGCATTTTGTACTCCAAACTTTAAATCATTGCACTACGTCTGTACAAATATCCTACTTTCCTGAGGAAGCACCATTTGCTAATTAATCCCGAACTTGGAATAAATCAGTCTACTTGAAGGTTAATAGGCGTAGACTGAAACTTTCTATCTATATTCGAATTGACCTCTCAGCCACAGCGGGGTATACGCTCACAGGAAGTCAGTATTACATATGGGGGTTACAGGTAACACCATATTGAAAACACAAGTACTAGCTAACGTAGCGTTTGCTGACTTTAAGCTAGCTTAACCTCAGTTAACGTAATAATGATTTAAGATCCACAATTTAGAAAAGTTATGATTATCCTGCTATAACGTTTTTCCATTCCATTCGCACAGTCAGCCCTTTGGTGCTCTTAATCTTAAAAACTGAGGACGAAAAACGCACACAAGCGTCGCTCTCGCGCCGATAACACAGCAGTTTCTCTCGCCTTATCTCCTAAAGCTAAGCGCACTGGTTTGCTTAAATTGTATAGTTTTACAAATGAGCAAAGGGTTAAGGTAAAACACTCAACACACATTTTTGGGTTTTACCGACAAAGACAGGGACACTAGAATGATCATTTCTGGCTCATTAGTCTTCGTTAGCTAGTTATACCCAACTCCGCTGAAATTGCTGCCACACTCGAGTTGGGTATCACTAGCTGACGATCGCTAATGAATCAGAAATGGCCATTGTAGTGTCCCTGCCTTCGTCGGTAATACCTAAATATAAAATAAACTTTACTGAAACTTAGAAAGTAACATTACTATTCGCCTTGCAACATACGCTTCGACGTGTCCAAGCCTGCAACGGCAGCAACCAGGATGGGTACGTCCTGAAAACAGATCGGTGTACGACTACCTACTACTCAACATACATTTTTGAAATTTTTCCACAGTCTCCTTCGGTTTCACACCTCAAAGAATCTTCTCTTCTCGTCTGCTCTCGGTGAAGTTGACCTCATTGTATGGGACACTGAAAATGGCAACAAAGTAGCCACACTTGTTGGCCACCAGGGTGCCGTATCGGACATAGCTTTTCCCGAAACCGGTTCTGAATTTGTGACGTAAGTTCCCCTGTTCATTTCATGCCCATCTCTCGGTTTCTTAGGTGTGGTCACGACAAAGTTTTCATCCAGTGGTCCTCTGAGACTTTCGAAAAAGTTAAAGTTTTCCCCGTTCTCGAGGTAACTGCACTTCATTTTGATTTCTCATACCCTAATGTGCCTTTAATTGACTATACTTCGCTCTAATGGTTTTACTTATTTCCAGAGCCTCACAAGCATTTCTTATCTACCGAAAGGCTCACTTGCCAATCACCTTGGCAACTCAGCACATGAGAAGAACTTTATTGTTACTGGTGGCCAGTGGGGTGTTTTGCGCGTGTGGGACACCCAGCGTGGCGTCTGCACACTAGAGGTTCGTGGTCCCAGTCTCTTCTCTGATGCCGATAGTCTAAACCGTCTGGGTTTTGGCCTACATTCGGTCTCCACCATCCAGCGATTCACTGTTCCCTGTCTTCCTAACAATTCGGACGTCCTTATGGTCGTGCGCCAGAGCAGTCACGTAGAGTTCTACAACGCTGCCACCCTAAAAGTCTTTAATCAGGTATGCTTATTTTCTTTCCTAACACATAATTTGGGTTTTTTGCAACAGCTCTCAGACCCAGCCTTTTTCCATATTCAACTTTTCCGTGCGTCGTTTGATTTGTACTTTCATATGAACTGACTGCAACTACTCTGGTTCACTAAGCCCGCCTTTTGCTTTTAATTTTTGAGACGCTGTTTAGGAGAAAAGTGAAGTTGAAAGTTCGTCCGCCGTGGTTGACGACGAGAGACTTCATCACATTGGTAGTTCTCGGACTAATTAAGGTGTTTTACTACTCTCTGTAATGAATGTATATATGATAAAGTAGGTTATCGTAGTACATAATTTTCTGGAGACTGTGTGGAGGTTGTTGTCCGCAATCTCTGCTAGCAGATCTCTATGCGTGCCTCAATGAACATGTAGATACCCAACTAGGTCTGTGTAGGACAAACATTTCAGCTTCTATACTGTTTCTATTTTGGTCGGCATTTATGGCGGTCGTCCTTTATAAAGACAGCGTTCGGGTTGCGTTGACAACAAAGGCGTTCGACAAAGACTAGGTGGGACCGGCAGATGTGAGCAATTTCTTTGGAAATGGTAATGTTTCGGAGAGCGGAGAGTTTCCCAGAGGCGTTTGCATTGTGGTTGATGCAAAGGTGTCAGATAAGGACCATCCGGGTTCCACTTGAAACGAGATTTGACATTTGGAACTGTTAGAAGGATTTGAAAAGTGCAAACGTTCGTGCTACGACAGTCTCCATGTTTGACGCTTCACCCTTCCTTTCTGTACTTGATCAGTCTCGGAACTTCCTGGTCCAGTCTCTATAGTAGATCAGTTTACGTGCGTTGAAGCTGCTTTCCGAACATGTCATTTTTGCTGATGGGGATGACACCGTTATCTTGTTCTTGTTCGCTTCTGAAGAAAGTTTATTTCACGATTTCTGTCATGGATGTTTTTCACAAATGAGGGGATCCTGTTACTGCGGCCTCGTCCAACTTGTTTTGAACCACAGGACGGGGGCTATTGCACCTGTTCGGTTAATCGACACACACCTACGTGATGGCCTGCTTTCAGGCGGTGGAATGACCTATATTAATAACTCACATTTTCTAGCTTCTCCGCCTTTTGTGGATAAGAAGTATTTCCATACCTATAGCTGCTTGTACCTCCTGGTATCTGTCATTTACGGGGTTGTATGTTGTTTTCAGGCCCCTAAAACGGGCTAAACGGTAAATACACTGGACCAACGCGGGGGCGAAATCCGGGCCTGGCAAGTGGTATTGGGAGTGCGCACACAAAAATTGCCACGCATGTGAGGTGTGGTGGCACGCCTAGGAGTGGGCTGGTGCCACGCCTCCTACGTACGCCCGATCGCGCTCTCGGTCTTCTTGATTCTATCATTACACAGGGCTTAGGCGGCTGAGGAAATATAATGTGCGGGAGATACAGTGCAATTCTACTATCACTATACACTAATTCGCGCAAAATTCACTGCCCGTGCGCCTACGGTGGACGACGGTCGAACTGTCGAATGTTGTCTTCACCTCGGACTTTTGAAGTAGGGTTGATGTTAGAAGTGAATAGATGGTTGACATGACTTGGGCGTGGACTGTAGTGTGAAGACTCGTGCGGTACTGGTTCAAACTGTTAACTCTCAGCGTGGGACGGCAACCTCGAGGTGATTGGCGATGAGACGAGGTGCTTTGTCTGAGCATTTGCGAATGCTATGAAATAACTGGTTTTGTCCTACTCAATACCCTAGGCTACATACGCACACCGTGAGTGGATGAAGAGACACCGGACACTAATAATATACCACAATGGGTATTCGTACCTCCCCCCAGCTAACTTCATGTTTGGGTACTGGATATGATTGGCAGTTTGTACGCGGGAGATTTTTACTTTTCCAGTAACGCAATCAGTGCCAGTAAAGGTGACAACTATTATCCTTGTTTCTAGTTCATTGGAGAAATTGGACCTGTTACCCAGCTGTGTCTCATGGGTAAGGCCAGAAATCACCTAGTTTTGGCGGATGCCTCTTCAAACCTCAAGTTCTTCCCCTCGCCTCCGCACTGCTCTGCTGCCTCTCCCAGTGCGGCCTCTTGGACCTGTCGATTGGTTCAGGGTCCTCACACCAATGTCATCTCTGATCTTGCCGTCTCGAGCTGTGGCCGGTGGCTCGTATCCGGAGGCCACGACCAGTCTCTTTGCGTTTGGCATTTAGAAGAGACCGATAAGGAGGGCTCTATGTCTGCCCGACTTGTCCCCCTTTTCTTCGGCAAGGAATTTCACGACGCCCATGTATCCGCCGTCTGTTTCTCCAGGTAGGTAATACTTCTGTTGGACCATTTTGCTGCATGCTCTCAACGTTCATGGCTGTCAGAATGCACGCTGGCATGTTTTTAATCGTCGCGTTTTAATTCATGTAGTTGTAGTGAAATGCAGCTAACTGCCTACCAGTATACAGGAGCGAGTCTGTATTCACTTAGTAGAAATATCCTACGTTGCGAATTATTCCTTGCTATGCGTTGCTTGAAGGAGTTATGATCACCGCCGCCACCACGCCCTCCTGCTACCGGTATCTCAAGTGTCACGAACGAAGACACCCGACGTGCCCCTCGCAGACTGGGCACTGGACGGTGACTTGCGCATAGATAATTTTATAATGAGGCAGACTCGCGACGGGTCTATCACATTCTGGTCCATCATGCACCTAACTCTGGTAAGGAAATGTCTAGAGCAGAGGAGGACTTTGAGCACAATTTACTAACAAATCTAGGCAGTCCGCCTGCGCGTGCCATTCACAACCTAATCACCACCATCACCACCGCTTGTTCTCGAATTTGCCGATAGTGACTCGGTTTTGTACAATGTCTACTTTACTTTTCCTGTGTCCCCCACATGTTCTGGTGACAAAGCAGTGTCAAAACGAACGAAGATAAGTGTAGATACAGTGGCTGAAAATGCTAAACAGTCCGTCTCTGTGTACCATATGACGATTACTTACTTGTACTTGTTTCGGTTGTGATCATGGCTGATCTAGCCGGCCTCAATGATTTCACGAACGGTACCTCTCCATGCGT